AAAACGGATAATTTTAACAAGCGATCGCGGTAATGCGCAGATTATAGTCCACAAATATAAATTGTATAACGTAAAAATCACTTTATAATTTATTATTTTATACAATTTGCCGAGGGTCCGGACAGAGGAGGTCGGCGGTCCGGTCGTGGATCGCGGTCCGCCAGTTGAGGAAGGGTGGTGTAGTCAGTCTGCCTTCCGCCCAAAGTCAGTTGGGATAGGAGCGACAATGTTCGGGATAAGCGATGTTTGATTGGATGGATATAATACAGTTGCTTACTAATTCCGTTAACTTCTTTTAGACACCGTGTTTCCTGTTCCTAATGCTTTTATTTTGAAAGGCAATTGTCGTTACAGCCGACGCGGTGCCTTACGTCATTACGCCGCAGTTTACGACATCATGTGGAAAATAGCAATGTCGGAGGTAGGTAAATCACTCCAGTCAGTGGTGCAGCGGGTGAACCAGGCTGCGTCCCGACGACCCAAGGTACGTTCCGGCCAGGGTGAGTTCTCGCCGGTGCAACCGCTGTCGCGTGGTTTGCGGAAAGTGGCGCTGTGTTGCCACGATTGGTTATGTAAGGTTGTCAACCTTTGGATAAGAGACAAACGTGGGGCTCGGAACACCACGCGTGGTCTATTGGAGGCGGCATAGCAAGCTTGGCGCTGCACTATCCTGAATGCACGTTGATGCCTTGTGATAGGCATTCCGGTTTCGTGTGGTGTATGAAGGACGACTACAGTCAATACACTACTGTCATCACAACATCCACTGACCCATTCACGACTAGTGTAATCAGTACCCCCTGTTAAGTGTATCATTGGTGAATTAGACGTAGAGATGTAAATAAGCGTTACTGTTATATTCTCAAAGCAACGAGCTTCTTCTGAGCGATCGTAAATGTATTTTAAACCAGTAGAAGCCACCAGTGTTGAGCTCAATACAAAACAACCCAAATAAGATCATGTCAGAGACGTAATTTAACAAAGATGCTCATAGTGAGCATTGGCTGCAGGTTGCAATTGCGTACAACAGCAATTTCCAACCTTTTTTTGGCTTGTGTACCTCCAAACCTTTTTGTCAAACCATGAGTACCCCTGACTCAGACGTGTTGATGAGCCACGTAAAATAAGGTGGCGGGTCAGATTTGGCCAACAGATTTTGACTTTGACATCTCATGAGTCAAGACATTGCTGCATAGATCTACTGTACTTTACTAAATTATAGAACACAATTTTTTCCTCAGACGCTACCAACTGTGCCACCTCGACTTGTCGCTGTCAGCAAAACCAAACCTCCCGAGATGGTGGTGGAGGCCTACAACCAAGGCCAGCGTAACTTTGGAGAAAATTATGTGAGTATGCAGGCATGCAATGCCTGCTGTGCATCCCTCTAAACAACAATGAATCTAACCAATGCCAATAAATTGCACGCTTGTATCTCCACACCAGGTTAATGAACTTGTGGACAAAGCTTCAGATCCTATGGTGAGTTGCCATGTTTTTATAAGGTCAATTCTTTGCAACACCATATTATATTTTACAAATCATGATCCTATATTTCAGATTTTAGAATCATGCCCTGAAATCAAGTGGCATTTCATTGGTCATCTACAGAAGAATAATGTCAACAAACTCCTGGGTGAGTGAAGGCTGACTATCCTATTTGCAGATATGCGTTGAAAAACATGCGTTAGGGTTCGCCTTCCTCTCCCCAGGCGTGCCAAATTTGTTCTTGGTGGAGACCGTCGACTCGGCAAAACTGGCTGACAAGGTCAACAGCTCATGGCTGCGTATCAGAGGAGCGAGCATGCAGAGGTTAAAGGTCATGGTGCAGATCAACACCAGTGGCGAACAGAGTGAGTGTTTATTCCTTACCAGTATTTTACTACGCATTGTCATGGATTTGTGTGTGTGTGTGTGTGTGTGTGTGTGTGTGTGTGTGTGTGTGTGTGTGTGTGTGTGTGTGTTCCTGTACATTTCAATCTTTGTACGTGTATAAAAGTGATCATAAAATACCTTCCAGTCTTTGCAATTTTTCAAATTATTTTGATAAAAATGTAAAGCAAATAATGTATGCATCAGAACAAAGAGCAAAATTGGTCCAAGATTTACTCAAATAAAAAACAATCTTGTTTGCAAAGCATTTCTGCCAACCGTGATGTCACTCTGTGATAAATGTTGCCCATCTACAACAGTGACCAGGAAGCATCAAGGAATTAATAAATAATAATAAATGAATTAGAAAGTCAATTTAAAATGCATGTGAAAAGAAAAACATGCTGTATAAATGTTTTTTTATAACTAAGAACAAAATTTGCAGAATTAAATTATGAGAAATATCAAACTCAACTAGTAAATATTACTGTATAAGAACAAGAAAGAGAGAATATTGCCTTGCACTATGTGAACAGCAGTGTCACACCAGAAAGATGGAGAATATTAAATTACAAAGTCATGATGATCATTACTGCTACAGTTCTCAAAAATTCGAGAAAAAACTCATTTCACATAGACTTGATAGCTTTTTGGAGAAACAATCTTTTAAGAGAAAACCAAGATGGATTGAGAGAGAAAAGATCCATCTCTATGGCAGTAATGGAACTTGTTGAAGAAATTACATCTACTGTAGACAGTGAATCATTTACTGTTGGAATTTTCATGCACTTCAAAACCTTTTTTGAATACAGCTCACAATATGCAGGTATTAATGGGAAAAATAGACAGACATGGCATGAGAGGTTTGGCATCTCCATGGAAAATAAGTTACCCATATGATCGAAATCAGTATGTGTATTTTAACAACATCAATCCATGTGCAAACATAGGCAAATATGGCCTCCCACCAGAGGAAACTGTCAATACCGCGAAGCACATTATGTCGGAGTGCTGCGCCCTGCAGTTTGCCGGACTCATGACCATCGGGCGCTATGGCTACAACCTCACCCTGGGCCCAAATCCAGACTTCCAGGTACAAGCATTTTGAAAGCAATTCTGTTTGGGATGCTTCCGGTAGGCTATTGCTGTTTTTTTAGTGTTGTGAAAATGAAGCTTCATGAAGCACTTGTGATATTTTTTTTTTATTTCTCTATCTGGTGTTCTTCGTTTAAGGATAAAGGCTAGTACGATGGAAATGTATTACATTTCCACTGTGTGTTAAGCGAAGAGTGTCCCAAATTTTCGCAAGTGCTTCATTGCTGTTTGGTGATTTCTACCGTCTTTGTTACTGATTTACTGCTTTGTTGTTGTATATATGATGGTTGCTCCATGTGCAGCACTTTGTATACAGCGATAGCTGTTTTAAAGTGCTCTATAAATACAGTTGAGTTGAGAGAATTGAGTTGAGTCCATCACGACTTTGTGCATGTAAATCTGCATATTGAAGGGTAACAAGGGACAAAACCCCAGTTGATTTTGTATGTACTGAAAGTGTGCAAAGGTTTTTATATTAAAATGGACCTTAATATTGAGCAGGTTTGAAAACATTCATTTTATGGCAACAGCCTCGCATAAGCAATCAGAGGGAAATAAATACAATGGATGGAAACTAAGGCAGCATTTTTAACATCGTGAAGTATCATAACACCTGCTCCAGTCTTTTGCTCCTTAAACGGTGTTTGCTTGCTCACAGATGCTTGTGAGTCAGCGGCAGGAGGTTTGTGAGAGTCTGAAGCTTCCTCTGGATGAGGTGGAGCTCAGCATGGGTATGTCCACAGATTTTGAACATGCGGTGAGTACCAAACATTACAAACACTTCTTTTTCTTTTTTCAACTGAGAGAGAGAGAGAGAGAGAGAGATGTCCTAATGATTGGACAATATAGTGCCTCAATCTTACAAATTGCAAACTAATCTAAATTATTGAAATATGTCGTTTTTAGGCTCTCCTGTAAAGTGACTATTCTGGAGGTACAAGGTTTTGGCCCAAAGCTAGCGATACATAGGAAAATGCATTGCATTTGTACCAGGATGTGTAGATGTTGTGGCTTGAAATGTCTACTCTGCTAAATAGTAGCGATGCGCATTTGGCTAAATTCCATTGATTGAATACATTGAAAATTCGAAAAAATATTCATCAATATAAAATTAATTGTGGGTTTTGGAATGTGGGCGTACAGAAAAGTAGAAAGAAAAAAATAATTCAGGCTAGCACAGAAAGAAAATGCAAACCCCCAAACATGGCCGAGATTTGAACTCAGACCCTGCGGATCAAAATGCAGATGTGCTACCAACTACGCGCATTGTTGCTCCTATACTAAATATCAGCTGTTTTATTGCTGTCGATTTTTTAAAATCCTTTACATTTGCTGGATCTTCACATCATACTTCATCATAGTTTTACTAAGCATTGTATGTGACATCACATATGATGATCAACTTTGGTGCTGGCATGTTCCAGATCGAGGTTGGGTCTACTAACGTACGTGTGGGAAGCATCATCTTCGGCAACAGGGAGTATCCCAACAGCGCAGCCAACACTCCGATTCCCAGTCCCGCACCCAGTCCAGCACCAAGCCCGGAAAAAACTTCCAAGCAGGTTTCAGAAGAGGCCGCCAAGAAAATGCAGCACCTGACAGTCTGAATCTGAATACTAATAAGTTGTCAATTTCCTTTGTAAGAGAAATAATAATAATAATATTAATATTAATAATAATACATTTTATTTACAACTGTAAAATGTGCTCATAAGAAGAACGTGATACCCCCCCCCCACCCACACACACACACACGCACACACACATTGGGTTAGGATTGCCAAATGATTGCTTATTAAAAAAAAAAAGTCATCTCACATCAGTGTCCCTTTCTGTTATGCCAGTGAAGCAAAGACTTATTTCAGGGATGTGTTCCTCGAGCCGGTCCTTGGCCTCGAGGACCGGCTCCCCGGACCGCAGGCGGG